TGAGATAAAGCTTTTGCAGATATAGAGCTAGAAACAGCAGGGGAGGGAGCCCCAGAAGGAGTGGCTGTGCTCTCTGCCCCAGAAACCAGCTGCAAGCCCCAGCCTCTGGCAAAAGGGGGAAAGCTGCTGCCCCAAATACTGGCCAGGGAAACAGGAACCTTTGCCACAACGTCAGATCCAATGCTTAATGAAATCAATGGAGTGTCCAATCTTTACTGTGTAAGGAGGAGTTAAAATACAGTCACAGAGCACCTGAAACAGTTTTTGTCAGAGAAACTGTCTGGCTAGGAACTCGAAGTATTGTACACTGGTTAGTGGAGTTTCAGGGTGCTACTGCTGTGAGTTATAACCATATTTTGTTCATACCGTTAATAAACTTGCTCACTGCTGTAAATAAGCGAGATTATGATACAATGTGCTGCATCAGCATAACTCATTGCTCCTCTCAACGATCCCATTTTTGGATTCCAAATGTCCCTTGCTGCTTTGAAGTAGGGGCAAAATATTTTCCTATGGTCAACAGTAGATGCCCTTTTGTGACACATTTAAAAAATTGCTTTTTATTAACAAAACTTTGTCTACAAAGTTTGGAAAAAGCATCCTCTCTTGGTGTCTTCTAGATAATTTTTCCTTCTCATAAATCCTAAATTAAATTCTTCTCATTTACTTCCTTCAAGAATTACCATCAAAATTATGAACATAAAGGATGTTGGCATTCTGTAATTGCTATGGCAACACAAACCACAACCTCTAATAGCAAACTTAGGGCATAATTTGCACAAAAATCTGCTATTTGTCTCATGACACAAGGTATACTATTTTTGAGTTTCATACAATCAAAAGCTGTAGATGCCCTATAAAAATGTTCAATGCCTGACAAAGGCAAAAGAAAAAAATGTGGGAAGTTGTTAGAATTCTTCCTTAATACAGCTTGCCAACTTTTCCTTCCAAAAGAACTTGATGCCCTGCCAACAGAAATTTACCTTTGTAGTAAACTCCCCAATAGCTTATGTTACTGAGATTGAAATGAACACATGCCCTGCCAATGTAAAAATACGGAACTGTGGAAGTTGCTGCAGCGTGTTAGTTTGAAATGTTTGTAACTTTCTGTGTTTTGAGTAACCATGGAACATAAGCTGTTGCTGAAAGATGAGTTTAGTCGTGCCATAAAACCATTTTTCTGTGCATCTGAAGGAGTCTATGGAGTAGACTTTTATCCATTGGTAACCTCTTCACTTCTCTTTCTGTCTTGAGCCTTAGTCAGAAGATCTCCAAGCTGCAAACAGTGTGGCTACGTCTACACTGGCACCCTTTTCCGGAAATGCTTAAAACGGAACAGTTTTCCGTAATAAGTATTTTGGAAAAAGCGCGTCTACATTGGTGTCTACAAGCACTTTTTCCGGAAAAGCATCCGTGCCAATGTAGTCGCGCTTTTCCGCAAAAAAGCCCTGATCGTCATTTTCGCGATCGGGGCTTTTTTGCGGAAAAGAAATCTGAGCTGTCTACACTGGCCCTTTTCCAGAACAGTTTTCCGGAAAAGGACTTTTGCCCAAACAGGAGCAGCATAGTTTTTCCGGAAAAGCACTGATGATTTTACAGTAGATCGTCAGTGCTTTTCCGGAAATTCAAGGGGCCAGTGTAGACAGCTGGCAAGTTATTCTGGAAAAGCGGCTGATTTTTCCGGAATAAGTGGCCAGTGTAGACACAGCCTGTGATTTTAAGGGGATATATAGAAAGAAGACCTATACATTCTCAAACTAAGAGGCCATAAAAGCAGTGTGATGGTCTAGTAGGTACACTTCCTAATCTAAAAAAATGTGTTTATTCTAAACCCTAAAAACATTTAATCTGATAATTGAGCTGGATTACACTTTTGGGGTAATAATGCCCTTTAGAAATCAGTCAGAAAAAGCTTATGACAACAAAACAATAACAAAAAGGAATTCCTAAGCCACCAGAAGCGCTAATTGGCGCTGTTTTCACAAAGATGGACTTACATATGTGCAATAAATAATACATTTGGCAGATTTAAATGTTATTTCTGATACTTGAAAGAGGCTTGGATATTGTAGCAACATAGAATATGGCTGGGTATTAAGAGAAATTAAGAGGATATTCCATTTTGCAGTTCTATACCTCTTAATTTTGAGCAACAGAAAGTTGAGAATACCATGTTAGAATGTGAACAGCATTATTAAACAGTCATTTGGATCCACAGCAGTTGCTCAAGATGTGAAAATGTTGGTGGACTTGCATGTCTGAGAGGGAGCAAGGGTTTGACATGACCCTGGGATCTGTTACCTTCAGTTCATAAAGTAAATTAGGAGAAATGTCACAATCAAAACACAAATTAAAGCTGCTCAAATCAAACAACACAAAAACTCAGTCAGTGGACCAGATTGTCTACTGCTTGATATTGGAATAGGTATCACCATTGCCTCGAGTGGAGATACACCAATGTATATCTGTGGAGGAGCTGGAGATTAAAGAGGTCTCTGCTGAGCACTGATTTTGGAGTCTTCTGATTGAGACTCAAGAGAAAGAAGGAACAGAGAGTTTATCCCTGGATGAAAAGCTCTACACAGCTGATGCAAAGACAAATTGAGAGTTGTGTCTTTTAGTATTGTACAAATAAATAAGTCTTCAGAGGAAAAAAGACAAATGGGGAAATATCTACTGGTTATTTATTAATGATGGTTGTGCTCTCTGCGGGTACGTCTGGACTACATGCCTCTGGTGACAGAGGCATGTAGATTAGACTACCCGGCATAGGAAAATGAAGTGGCGATTTAAATAATCGCTGCTTCATTTAAATTTAAATGGCTGCTGCGCTGAGCCGATCAGCTGTTTGTCGGCTCAGCACGGTAGTCTGGACGCTCCACGGTCAACATCAAAGGCATTTGTCGACCTCCCAGGTAAACCTCATCCCAGGAGGCATACCTGGAAGGTCAATAAATGCCTTTGATGTCGACTGCTGAGCGTCCAGACTACTGCGCTGAACCGACAAACAGCTGATCAGCTCAGCGCGGCAGCCATTTAAATTTAAATGAATCAGTGATTATTTAGATCTCTGCTTCATTTTCCTATGCCGGGTAGCCTAATCTACATGCCTCTGTCGCCAGAGGCATGTAGTCTAGATGTACCCTGATATGCTCATAATATCTGCCGTTACAGACAAATGTTAATCCTTTGCCCAGAAACAGAGCTCCCAGACTTTTTTATTATTTTACCTGCTTTTTCTCTGTCTTGTAAATCTTCACTTGTAGATGAGCTGTAAATATAAGATGTGTATTTTTAACAGAAGGAATTATATCACCATAAAAGCATGATACTCCGCTGCTCCTTCATTAAATAGATAGCAGGGGGATGTGGTATCATAGAAAAATATAGCACTAGGCATTCAATGCTGTTTATGTATGTTGGTAAGGAAAATGTTCCCTGTGTCCATTCTTACTAGTACACGCAACCTCCTCTGTTCCCCAAAACACAGAGACCTTAATTAAGCACTAAGAGTATGTCTACACTACAGCGCTATTTCAAATTAACTTAATTTGAAATAGTTAATTCGAAATAACGCATCTAGACACAAAGTCTAATTTGAAATAGAGTTTTGCTATTTCGAAATAGTGGGTCCACACTAATTGGATACTGGATCGCATTTAAGAGCTGCTGAAACTGGTTCCAGCAGGGCATCAGGTCAGTAATTGCTTCGTGTGGCTGCTGTCTGAGGCTGTCTGAGGCTCGTGCTTAAAGGGACCCCCCTGGACAGCCAGTTCTCAGCTTTCCCACTTGCTTGCCTACCTCGCTGAGGGACAACAAAGCGTTTTCTTCTCTGTCTCCTTTGGTCGCTCTCATTTGGGACACCACAGCACTCGGCACCATGGAGCCAGAGTTGCCCCTGGGCACTCTGGTGCTCATGTTGAATATGTTGCTGCAAGCCTGGCCGCAATTGCTGGAGGCTGCCTGGCACCATCTGCTGCAGGTTAGCCCCCGGGACTCCCCCCGAGGGCTGTGGAGGAGCAGCAGCAGCGCCCAGATGCCAGCGTGCCCCGCCACATCTGGCGTCTGGGCCCCAGCAGCGACTGGTGGGACCGCATACCCAGAACTTCAGGATGAAGAAGGACACCTTCCTCGAGCTCTGCGAGTGGCTCGCCCCTGCTCTGCGGTGATGGGACACACACATGAGGCCCGCCATTCCCCTCCACAAGCGGGTGGCCATCACCCTCTGGAAGCTCTCCACGCCGGATAGCTACCGATCCATCAGCAACCAGTTTGGGGTGGGGAGTTCCGCCATCAGAGCGGTGCTCATGCAGGTACACCAGTCATCAGTCACTGGGCCAGGAGGGGGAGCTGCAAGGAGGAGATGGGTTGCCAGGGAAACGAGGGGGAAATTGGTGTAAGTGCCCTCCCCGGGAAGGTTCGGTCTGTCCCAGTCACGCTACAGACCACCCATGGTGGTCAGGATTGCAGCGGGGGTTGCTCCTGGGACTGGGGCATGAGGACAGTGGCAGGGAACGAACATTCCCAGACACCCAGGTGCCCCAGAACCCTTGGTTTTGTGTGTCTCTCTGCAGGTGTTCAAGGCCATCAACAGGGTGCTGCTCCATAGAGTCATCTGCCTCACTGACCTGGATGCCATCATCCAGGGGTTAGGCGCCCTGGGCTTCCCCAACTGAGTGGGGGGCAATTGACAAGACGCACATTCCCATCCGTGCCCTGGAACACAAAGCCTCCCTCTACATCATCCGCAAGGGGTACTTCTCCATGATCCTGCAGGCCGTGTCTGACCACTGGAGCCTGTCACAAACATCAATGTGGGCTGGTCCAGCAAGGCACACGATGCGTGGGTGTACCACAACTCTTCCGTGTGCCAGAGGCTGCATGCCGGGACTTTCTTCCCTGAGTGCCACATCAGGGTCAGGGACGTGGACATGCCAGTGTGCCTGCTGGGGGATGGGGCCTACCCCCTACAGCCCTGGCTAATGAAGCCCTACACGGGACACCTGAACCCCTCCCAGCAGGCCTTCAATGCCAGGCTCAGCAGGGCCCACATTGTGGTCAAGGGGGCCTTTGGCCGACTGAAGGCCCGATTTAGATGCCTCCTCACCCACCTCGACCTCTCTGAGCACAATATTCCGCACATGATGGCAGCAAGCTGTGTGCTCCACAATTTATGTGAGAGGAAGAGGGAGGCTTTCCTGCCAGCCTGGATGGCAGAGGCTGACCAGCTGGCTGGCCAGTACGCACAGCCCCGCACAGCTGCCACAGTATCTGGAAGCATGGTGAGGAGTATAAAAGGATCTAAGAAGCATTCTCTCATGACAGCATCTTCTGGTATAGAGTGGATGGGGCCATTACTGTGGCCTCACTTAGGGTATGTCTACACTACCCCGCTAGTTCGAACTAGCGGGGTAGTGTAGACATACCCTAAGTGAGGCCACAGTAATGGCCCCATCCACTCTATACCAGAAGATGCTGTCATGAGAGAATGCTTCTTAGATCCTTTTATACTCCTCACCATGCTTCCAGATACTGTTCCTAAGGCTATGCCACTCCACCTCCGCCCTGATGCAATTTTGCCTATGAAGAGGCAGCATTTAGAGCTAGTTATTGAAACACCATATCTACAGTGCTATTGGCTATAATAGAGCAACATTCGGAAATTATGTCCTATGGGAAATTCCAATATTTGTTTTCATCACAGATTGGATAAAATGTTGAAAACTTATTTTTTTGTGATAGAACAAAATATTTTGAGACATGTTGATTTGAAAATATTGATACCATTTTGCTTTGCCATTTTCTATAGAAAGAAAACATTTCAATAGCCCTGAAACCAAAATGTGTAGTGGATTATCTCATGAGAGCTGTAATTATGGAATATGATGTACCTATTCTTTTCTATAAGCCAGACTTCCTCTGCAAGGAACAGCTCTCATGATCCACATAAACCACGTGACTTTCACAATGCATCACACAGCTTGATCAGACAGTTATCCATATTGTATTAGTGGATGTATATGCCCCAACCCATGAGAGAAAATGGAAAAGAGCACTAAAACTCTTCATGAGGCAATGCACAATGACAAGAACTATAGTTTAAAGTTGAACTGATTCAAAACAAAACATGTGGAAGACACCCAAAAATCAAATATTTAAGTGTGATTTTTCTCCAGTGGAAAATTTCAATTTTTCTGCAGAACAGTTCAATTTTGTTTTGTTCATCATGAAATCATTCAATAGAAAATTCCAGATCAGCTCTACTGTTGAAATCGATAATTGCACAGGTATAATTTGATGATGCATCAAATACTTATTCGATAACATGACCAACACTTACAAGAATCCAGAATCCAGCCAGTGGCGAATATTTTCTTCTTTAGAATCTTCTAAAAATAACAATAAAAAAGAATTAGGACCACTGGTGACAGTTGCTAATTGGTTTATAGCAATTTACCATGTGACTGAATTGCTGGATTTCCCAGTACCATTAATTCCAGAATTTGTAAAAGCTCTAAGAGGAAAGGCTGACAGTAATTTCATTAACCTGAATTCTTTCTATATGTAGTTCTGCTTAGCTAGGCAGTCCCTGGCATGATCTAAATGGCAAGATGGAGAAAAGGCTAGAGAAAGAAGGGAAACTGAGGCAAAGAGAAACAGCACTCATACAAGAAGTCTGTGGCAGTCAGAAATGGAACTCAGATCTCTTCAATGTCAGTCCTATGGTTTAGCCAAAATGTTAAAGAAAGTCTCTCTCAGAAAAATTCAAAATTATTTAATCATTAAAAATGCTAGAGTGAAAATCTGGTATGTATTTATGCTTTCTTGCTTCTTGTTGTTCAGATAAATCATGGGTTTAAAAGATGGTCTTGTTGTCACAACTGAGTCTTTCATTAATTAGGGGAGCAGAGCAAAAGTTCATTGGAAGAGTCATCTCTGGAACTTTGTGTGCTATCAGATGTTAGACATATTTCACCAAAATATAAATAAGAGAGATGGTCAGAAAAGTATAGCTGTTGGGCAAACTCAGCAAAAATTAAATGAATGCTTTTATTGTATGTCCATATACTCCATGTACAAGGCTCTTTGGTATTGAAAAGTGGTGTGACATTCTTGTTTATAACTTGCATCAGCAGAGTTATATTAGGAGATAATGAACTAATATTAATGCTTATTACCATATAATTGCTTCCACTGGAGTTTGCGTATGATCTACCATGGAATTATTGTAAAATGACACGATTATTTCAAGGTAGCCATGTGATGATAAGCCTGATCTTACTTCCAGTGGAGTCTGTGCCTTAGTAGTACTGTCATTTGTGCAGTCACTACCGTTCAAGTAAAAATGCCATTAAGTATCCCAGGAAGGCCATTCCCAGGTCTCACTGACCCAGCTGTGAATCAGGAGGAGGGTTATCCACTATAGTTGGAGTCAGAGAATCTTCATCCAGGTGAATCCATGATGCTTTGGCAGATAACAGAATATTCCTCTTGTTCATTTCAAAGCTCCTGCTGGTCCCATGACAGTAAGACTCCGAAGCCATCCCACAGTGCACATTTGTGAGCTAAGAAAACAGATAAAAGAATATCACGTTTAATACATTTTACAAACCCTGGCTGTTGCACACTATCATCATCCTTTAGCTCAAGTGGCAGAGGTGTGCATTCCCGCAGGGAATGGTTTGAGGATTGATGCATTGGGTTGAAACTCAGGACACCTGGGGTCAATTCCAGGCTCTACCACTGACTTCCTACATGACCTTGGGCAAGTCATTCATGGCACATGAGTTTACATGACCTGTTCTACTCATTGAATTCTCTCCTGTCTCAGGTGACCCAAGTGCTTCTGAAAGAACTAGAGAGTGAAGTCCTCTATTTATGCGGAGAATAGTCCTAGTACAGACAGTGCCAGAGTGAGATTCCCCATGCTGTATTGCCAGTGCACTCCAACCTTTTCTTGGAGGGAGTCTAGTCCCTTCAAACTCCTTTTGCCCAGATGATAGTAGGCAATGGAGAAGGACCTAGTGTGCACATGGGAGGGAGGGAATGTAGAGAGGGAAGAAGAGAACAAAGGAAGCATTTCTCCCATGCACTCATCATACCTTCTGGGCAGTCTCAGCCCTGACACTCTACAGGGGAATAAATTAAATATTCCTCATAGCAAAAACATTTGTCTCTCCTTCTGAGTGACGATAATGTGAAGTAATGACACTGGAGCACAGAATGATCTCCCTTTCTCTTCTGGGAAACACAGCAGTGCCTGGACGTGTGAGGTCTTCTCTCTGTGAGCAGTTTTGGCCAACACATTGCAGGGAGACAAGAGTAAAGGAGAGAGCTATGCCTTTCTGTCCCTGCTTGCCTTCTTGTGGAGGAGGCAAGCAGGAGAAGGAGGTATGCAATGCCCTCTTACTCCTGAACCTACAGACCCAACCTCTGTAGAGACTCTGCCATTGTATAAGGAGGGGAGATCCAACTTCTCCTTACACTCATGTAAAGTTACGTTGCTTGCCTCACTACTGAGCTCACAGTGAAAATATGGGACTACAGGGACTACTGCCTAGAAAGAAGTGGAGTCCTATGCCTGTCACACACAAAAAATGCTGTGAAAGTGGGAAGTGGGTCACACAGAGGATGTACATATACAATGTGGAGAGGAGAGCTCCTTTTTCTCACCATTGCCTCTTCCTGCAGAACCAGAGGGTGAGATGCTGTGGCACAGATTGTCCAGAGATGAAGGCCAAACTTTCAGATATAGCTTTGCTCAGTGTGCTTATTTTCAGGATTTGTGCCCGTGGGCCTGATTGTCCGTTGTCCTGAACCTAGTATTGATTGCCCTTTATAGCTGGGCAAAGGGATGCGATATACTACCAAAGCCAGTCTGGTATCCACTTTCCCCAATGTTAATGATTACACAAAGTTCAGGGCAACAGAGAATCAAGCCTGCTATCTGGAAATGCAAAGAGGTAATTCCCTTTAGCTTTAATTATTGTTAGCATCATTAATTTCTTTTTCATAGATAGTGGTAGAGCTTCTTTGGATTTCATATTAATTAATACATAATGAGTAATCTGATAAGGTACATCTTTTCAGACAAGAGTGTCCTCTTGATCATAGTTTGGGTGCCAGAGTCTCTCATCATCTGTGTTTTTTAATTTAACAGATCTCCAGAAGCAAATTTAGCTCTGAAAAGCTGTTGATGAAATGAAGGACTGGCTAGCTTCCATATTCTGTATATTTTTCCCATTAGATAACACATTGGGAACATCTTGGCGGTTCTATTCACAAGAAGGCAACAGGTAGAAGTTAAAGCCTTTTGTGAATGAGCTACGTACATGTTCGTAAATACAAAAAGTAAATAAATCTGAAATAACATATAGACAATTTATGGCAAGTTTTCAGGATGATCGGTCTTACTTCAAGTTGCTAGTGCTTAGTTACTCTATTTTCCTTGCCACGATTTAAAAATTATTATTTAACAGAAAGCAATTTACTCTTGATCTCCCTTCGTCACACAACATTCATTCTGGTGGGTGATTCGTATACATCAACAAACATTTAGCAGAATTAGATAAATACAAGCCAGGTACGAAATAGAAATTAGTTGACAGACAATAGACTGGAAAGATCTCCCAACAGAAAAATAGTGTTCCAGAAGGATCAGGCTCTGGAATGGATATTATTTAATGTTTTTATTGACTGTACAGAGAAAGGATAGAATTTAATAATCATCCAATCAACCGATAACAGTCAAAAGGAGAGGTCTGCATAAAAACACAAGCGGACAGAAACAAACTACAGCACTAGAGCAACACGGTGGCTTGCGCACAATGAAAATTAGTATTAATAAAATGTAATGCCAAGTTCCTAGGAAAGTGACATACATCACGCAGATACGGATTAGAAGATAGCAGCAAGTCACTGACATTCCAGTTCAGCTAAGAACTTAAGGCCAAGCTTAACTTTGAACACATTAGTAATTCAGCAAAGCACTTGAGCATGTTTTGGGGGGCCAGAATGATTTATGTAGGAACCCAGCAAACTAGCTATACTGTTACTCTCCAACACCACTGTGGGGAAAAAAAGCCAATACTATTTTCAGACATATATGTCAGGATCACAACAAGTTCTGTATATCCTGGAATGTTGTAAGTGGAATGTTACATATAGTTTGAAACCGATCCCTTCCATGTAGAAAGAATTTTAAAAAGAGAAAAACCCCTACAAAGGCAGCCTTTCCTATTACGACTTTGAAAGTATTTGTAGAACAAAATCATGTCAATTATCCTGAGTCTTCTCTACTTTCATCATATTATTCCTTCAGGTGAATGGAGCACAATATATATAACCCAATAAAAAGAAGAAAGACTACAGGGGGATACACAACCTCAGGAGCAGAGGGAGAACACAACCATGGTAACTTTCCTCTATCAACACCTTGCCAGATCCAGGGAGGTAAACCCCAGCAGTGACCAGTCCCAGGCGGGCGCAGGGGATTTCTTACATCCTCTTTCCCCTTCCCCAGGTATCTGTGCAGAACTTGTAAAAATGTAGCCCTAGAGATGGGATTGCACTGAAATCTCAAATTTAGGTGTCCCTCCACCAAATTTGAAGAAGCGGGTTTCAGATTTAAATTCCTGAAAAATCAAAAGGGTGAAAATCTTGTGACAGCAGCCAATCTAGCAAAATTTCCACATTCTAGACAGCATAGGCCATGGAATTTAGGCACCTACAAGATTCAGGGGGAGCCGACTATGGAGCTCTGTGATTCCTAGTGGGGGTCTAATTCTGTGATTTAGGCAGTGCACGTGGTAGTTAGATGTATACATCTTTTTCTGAATCTAGTCCTCTGTGTCCTGATTTCTCCATATATGCAAAACTATTTTACAGAGACATTGTGAGGCTAAATTAATTGTTTGATAAATGTATTGAAATCCCCATGTGAATGCTTCTGTAGAAGTGTAAAATATTATATACTTCGTGCTACAATAATAAGAAATAATTCCATATTATAAAACAGAAAACTTTAAAAAATACAGCAGATACTAAAATGGAAAAAATTCAAATAATGCCTTATATTTATCATGATATTGTAGATAAAAATCTTGGGTCAGGTCACAGTAAAGTGAATTGCAAAACTTCTATTGACTTCAGTAGGCCATGATTTCACTCTTGTTCTTATCAAAGTAGAGGTACAAGTGTAATCTAAGACAACTAATGCAGCTCTTTGTTAATCAATTTTATGTCAGAAGCTGAATCATATCATAATGATTTAACTTTTAATTGAGAAGACTGAGAACAGCAGCTAATAAGAACCCACGGCAGACACTCCCCTCCAAATCCATTTTAAGCACAATGCAAAACTATATAGAAAAAAAGGAGAGAAATAATTGACTTTTAAATGCCTTCAATATTGTTGTAAAAGGAAAAGCTTGAAAATTCAGCACATAGCTCATAATCCATGACACTTGCTGCAACTTGTTAAGTGCAACAAGTATTAAAGTTGCAGCAAGTATTAAAAAAGCAACAACCTAAAAAGTGTAGAATTCATTCCATTTGACCGGATTCCAATGCTGTCATTAATAACATTTCTTGGGCAGACAACTACAATCTACAAGGCTGGGAAAAAGCAAAATCAAGGGTACAGTTCTTTTAACTGGAATTTAAACCAGAAAAAAATAAGAACAAAACAGCATTTTTCATTAAATTGGAAGAACAGAACACATTTTGCAGTATATAAAAACAGTTAGCTGCAATCTAACCTGTGCTGCTTGCTCCATCTGTTTATAAAATGGAATTGGTGTCTGGATGCTTCTACATCTTTGCTGTGCTAGATACCCAAAGACTGAAAAGCCCAAATACAAGATCTTATGCTCATGGGCCAGCTCCTTAGTCCCCATTAAACAAAAAACAAAACAAAAACCACAACATGAAGGGCCAAGAAAGGCTATTTGCCAACAAGTGGTGTTTGAATTGATAGTTAAGATGGACGATTGTTTGCTTACCCTTCCAGCCAAAGGAAAGTAGGAAAATGTCTAGTCTAGGTTGTAATGATTAGAAGACTTAAAAAAATCAGAGTGACGGGTGTGTGTGAGAGTTAACTGAGATCAATACAAAAGCAGAAACGGCTTTACTTGCCTTTACGTTTAAGAAATGTATTCCTGTCCCTTTAACACAATGTGACCCTTTGGCACAGGCACAAAGGGAAGGATTACATTTCACTAAGGAAGCAATGCAAACTTGTCTTCATTTGGTTACCATGGATATGGTTCTCTTTGATACAAACCCTCCCATTTGCATTGCAAACAATCACAAGCAATGAAGGATACAGAACTTGATATTCAGGATGCAGAGCGCCTGTGTAACGTTCATATAAAAGATCACAAGTAAAAATAGCCCGACCCGCAGATCAGCATTGGTACTTAGAATGCTAAACTCAAAATAAAGGATTTAGGTTTCATATTCTTAAGTAAAAGGTACATCCATTAGTTCTTATGTACTTGTAAGTAGTAAATGACATTTCTATTGATACCTGGTTTTGGAATGTAGCTTTGGTTTTATTCCAATTTTGTAGCTACTTCGGCACCAAGGTGGTATAAATCATTTGATATTTTCAAAGTACCAGATTTCTATCAATACTGGAATGGAAATGAAAGTGGCAAAGTGGTACTTATTACTATTGTTTGTTATTGATATTACCATTAAGCCTAGGAGTCCTAGACCGGGGTGAGCAATAATAAATGGTGGCCCACCAGCAGTGTTCCCTCTAAGCTGTGCAACAGCACAGCTTCACAGGTGATTAATCTGCCTCACCCAGTCAGTGTCTCAGGGCTCCCTGCATGGAGCTGACTGACTGGGCGGGGCTGTTTAATCACTAATGAAACTGTGCCACTGTGCAGCTTAGAGGGATTAGTACCTGGCTACCTGCACCTCTACAGGTATCAAGAGATCTCAGCTCTAGGGCTGTGTCCAGACTCAGGGGTTCTTTCGAAAAAAGTAGCCTTTTTTCGAAAGAACTTCCCCTGCGTCCAGACTCAAGCCGCGTTCTTTCGAAATTATTTTGAAAGAATGCGGCTTTTCTTTCGATGGCGGTAAACCTCGTTTCACGAGGAAGAACGCCTTCTTTCGAAAGTTCCTCTTTCGAAAGAAGGCTTTCTTCAATGTAAATAGGGCTTCCTCGAAAGAGAGCATCCAGACCCGCTGGGTGCTCTCTTTCGAAAAAGCGGATTGCTCTTTCGAAAGATCCGCCTGCAGTCTAGACGCGATCTTTCGAAAGAGGCTCTTTCGAAAGATGCTTTCGAAAGAGCCTCTTTCGAAAGAAGCCTGCAGTCTAGACATAGCCTAGTTGGCCATGGATCACCATTTGTGCAGGCTCATGAGCTAGAATTTGCCTGCCCGTGCCCTAAATGGACAAAGACCTAGACTCCATGGTGCAAGATGCTGTACAAGCTACAAGAATAAAAATGCAAAATCTCCTGAAAATGAACTACAGGGATCCAATCAGAATGGCTGTAGTAAATAGGAAAGTAAAAAACTGTCATTTGAATCCCAAAGGAATGGCAGATAACTGATCACTAGTAATTCTGTTTATCAACTAAAATTTAGCCATTATTATAGTCATTAGGTCCAGCATATAATTTTTATTTCATATGATACCAAATACGAATGACCCAGTTTTGCTCCAATAGCCAAA